ATTTTAAATATATTTTTCAGTTTTAATTTTTTTATTTATCGGTTAAAGATTCAAAATTTACAAATTCCAAAATTATGAGTTCGGAGGTTTATGTGTTTGGAAGTTTACGGGTTTAGAAATTATAAAGTTTACGTGTTCGAAATTTCGCGGTTTTGAAAGTTTAGTGATTCGAAAGTTTATGAAATTTGTGGGTTCGGAAGGTTGCTGGTTTGAAAGTTTATGGCTTCATGTTTATTATATCTAAATTATTTATGAATACTCTTGAGAAGTCATTTTCCTTAATTTGCGCGCCAAACACCGGAAAATAAATAAGATTACTACTTATTTTCCACAAAAATATTTTCTTGGAAAATCTTTTCCACGGAAAACATTTTCCGTTATATCAAACACACCCTTAGTTTCTTACATATTTGGAGTCTCACTCTAAAATCGTTTTGATAACATTGAAGCAAAGTTGGAGTTCCATATATTATGAGTGGTGATAAAATTGGACATGGCAAAAGTATATGATCGCTTTTCTTAACTTTTTCACTTAATCTTTAAAGAAAATGAAATCTTGTGAAATTCTCATTGACATGGTGTGGAGATTGGTAGCAAGTATTCAGTGTTACTAAATGACCAAGCATTTGGGTTCTTTCAATCTTCTAGAGAGGTTAAATAAGGTGATTGTCTCTGACATTATTTATTTTAACGTCTGAAGCTTTGTCCTGTAGCGTAAATGCTTTTTTAATTCAGCTTATTATGATTTTATTATGCGAAGTTGAAGCTCCATAATCAACCGCTTATCTTATGTTAGTAATACAATCGTCTTTATTTCATCGGATAGATGGTACTTGGATCTACTCATGGGGGTTTTGAAGGAGTATGAAATGACCTCGGGTCAAATGATTATAGAGATAAAAGTGCAATCACTACTAGAAAAACGTAAATTAGCGATGGATATAAAAACAATTCATCACTAAGATTAGCGACATATTATTCAAAAATTCTATTAGCTACGAGCAATTTAGCGGAAGATTAGAAGCGAATTGTGTAGGTAATTTCATTTTTTGTAGTGAATTTATATGCATCATCAAGTTGTAAGTGGTCATATCAACATAGTAAAACGATTTTCTTTTTGCTTATGTAGGTGTCCAATCTTTTATAGTTGAAGGAAAATTAGCTTTTGTGATAATCTTTTGGTTAAGGTTCAAAACAAGATTCAAGTTTGGCAAGGTAACTTATTAACCTTATGTGGTAGGTCTGTTTTGATAGCTCATGTGCTTCAATGCAATACAATTGTTTCAAGATTATGAGATAATACCACAACACCATTTGTAGATTATATTGGGTTTATTGTTGTTGTTGTGAAGATTACGAGATAATGAAGTTGATCATGAAATTATCTGGTAGGGACAGTGATGTTCACGACATGTTGTTTATTTAAGTCACGCTTAACAATTATCTCCGATTCCAAGGTAAGAAAAGCAATGTTATGTCCTATTCATTGGTCAAACCATATGCAAAATTGCACCAGAATTTGACACATTCACGACCCAATCTTTCCACTGCGAGAGGTCGCGATGACACCTAGTCTCTACAATTTGGTAAGCCTAACATTTGCGGAAAATAATAAAAATGAAAGCATAAATCTTAACAGCTAATAGCAACAAGTAATTAAATAACTAATGGAAATACCACTCGGCATATACAATAACCAACTCTCGAAATATACAAAGAACTTTTTCAAGACCTGGAACATCATAAGTCACAAGCTTCTACGAATTTGACTAATTGTTTATATATATCAGAACTAGAAGAAGCAAAGAAGAAACAACATAAAAGAGATAGAGGGGGACTCCGAGCTCTGCGGATGTGGGCAGATATACCTTGAAGTTTCCGGAGCAGCAACAAGTACACGACTAATAGCGGGGATGGTAAGAGGTACCTGGATCTTCACACGAAAACATGTACAGAAGAGTAGCATGAGTACACCACAATGATACCCAGTAAGTGCCAAACCTAACCTCGACCGAGTAATGACGAGGTCAAGTCAGGGCCTACTGATATATATAAATTAATTATGGCAAAGAAAATATTATAACGAAATAAAGACTGAAATTTAACAAAAAGGAAATCCACAGATAAGTAACAGTACAACACACAAGGATAAAATGGAGGATCTCCCGAGATACCGTCTCGTAGTCCCAAAAGTAAATGTACAGGGAGAGCTCCCGAGGTACCGCCTCATAGTCTAAAAAGTAAATGTGCAGGGGGATCTCTCGGGATACCATCCCGTATCCCCAAAGTAAATATGCAAGGGGATCTCCCGAGATACCGTCCCGTAGTCCCAAAGTAAATATGAAGCTCAAAACAATGGAAACAACAGTTACAACAAGAAATCCTACAATTTAGACTAAGTACAAGTTAAGGAAGAAACATGAATCCACTAAGCATGTTGCACAGAGTTCAGATAAGCATTTAAGACATATAGACATGCTATTCTAGGCTAAACAGGATAACTACACATGCTAGTATAACTCAATTAAGGTGAAACATGTTATTTTTCAGTAAAAATCGAATTTTACAACGAATAGCTCGTGTACGCACTCGTCACCTTGCATACATGGCACTCATATATCACAACCGTACCAAATCCTAAGAATAGTTCTCCCACTCAAGGTTAGGCAAGTCACTTACCTCGAACCAAGCTCAAAGCAATCCGTAAGAATGCCCTTTCCTCGATTACCTAACTCCGAATGGCCCAAATCTAGATAAACACAATTACATATCATAAATACAACTATAATAAGCTAATCTAACTAATGAAATCAAGATTTTAACAAGAAATTTGAAAATCGCCCTAAAATCCTCCCCGAGCCCCCATCTCGGAATCGGGTAAAAGTCACAAAATATGAACATCCATTTACTCACGAGTTCAACAATACAAGAATTACTCGAATCCGAACTCAAATCGCCTTTCAAAACTCAAAAATTTAGTCTAGGAAGTTTTTACCATTTTCCCCCAAATTTCCAACTCAAATCCCTAATTAGATGATGAAAATAGTAATTGAATCATGAAATATAGTCCAATTTGGGTTAGATTTACTTACCCCAACAATTTCCTTGAAGAACCTTCGAAAAATGGCCTCACACCGAGCTCACAAAGTCCCAAAATTGAAAATGGGATGAAACCCTCGAACTTGGCCCTTTTCTGCCCAACGATTTCGCATCTGCGAGCCTCCAGTCACACCTGTGGAAATTCCATTGCAGGTGCGGAAATGACTTAAGGTAACTGCGACCACTTCTGCGATCCAGTGGCCGCACCTTCATGTGCTCACTTACAGACAATGGTCCGCTTCTGCGGTCTTCCTTCGCGCATGCGGTTCCTCTAGCGCATCTGCGGGAATCGCAGATGCGGCATTCTCCTTGCACCTGCAACCCCTCACCAAACTTCCCAACTCCACTTCTGCGCTTCTTGATTCGCACATGCGTGTCCGCACCTGCGGCCAACCCCATCTCAGGTGCGATGACACCAGAAATTGAAAAACTTTA